GCCAACAGTCGAACTGTTATCATATTTTTGTATGTATTTAAACTTAACATGTATGTTACGATCGTTGATAGTTCTTTTTGTAAAAATAATGTCTTACTTTGGTAACATTTTATATAAATTATAGGGGAGTTCCATGTTTGCGCACGTGTTTATCAAAAACAATTGAATGATTTATGTTTGGTCTCTAGATATTAATGACCCCGCATGAAATCTGTAATCAGGCCAGAATACAAAGTACGTAAAGTGTTCACAAACAAGACGATGCAACGATTATAATCCTCTCAGCAAGGAAGAAATGTATTTGTATCTAACTTGTGCGATAATGGATAAAGTATCATTGATTTGCAGTTTTTTACTGTAAAAGATATGTATGCGTATCTTCCGTATTTGCAGCGGCGTTTTCCCGGACTACTTTTTTACCTAAATTAAGCCAGACAGTGAGTACACTAACTTGTAAAGAAGTCTTTCAAATCATAAGGTTATTAAAGAGACCAAGTTTTCTGAATAAGACACACTATGCATCACTTTAATAAAGAAACAAAAACAAACAAACAAACATGTTATTTGCTGAAATGTTATTTTATATTTTCAAGAATGAGGATGTTATGGATACATGAGCATACAATTTAAAATAATGCGCTGTAAGCTTCCGTAGTCATATAAAATTACATTTTGAAATAAGTGCACTGATCTGAGAGCAACCATTTTTCTTAGATAAACAGTTTCTATAATATCTTTTTATTAAGTTGGGGAAAAGAATCATCTTATTTAAAAAACTCACCAGAATAGGCGAGGGAGTTTTGGCAAGAGACACATTTTAATAAAGCTTAAGTCATATAGCAAACACGTTAATTGACATCGACTAATAAACATCGCAAGGAATTTTTGGCAACATCATAACACTATCATAAAACTAATCATTAACCATTTTTTTCTGCATTTTTTTGGAGTAATTCGTGTAAAGGCTATTTGTTATTTACTAATAACTGGCATAGATTTTATTGTTTGATGAAAAAAAGCGTAGACTCAGTCCTGTTTCACATAAAAATTTCATTTTTACCACTTCTTCAATTTGCTATTTAATATATTTAATTTAAAGACACGATTGCATTGAACTTCTTCGTTGTAACATTTTAAAATAACTTGACATTTCGAGTGGAATTTGGTATCACTGTCAACATACATCATTTGACCACTGAATTTACTGCAGTTATTAATATTGCATTTTCATTCACACGATAAATACAAGCGTCTCTAACCATTATTGTATTACTTCATTTTGAGACTGGAAAATATAGTTTGCGTTAACAGATTTTGATGATAATTTGGTGAGGAGTAAACACTTAAGGACATACGTTTGCACTTCATTTGCAGGTTTGATATTGTTGCCGTTATCTCTTATATCTTTACACTAATTAAAGGGTTATAAAACATGATTTATCTGTGGCATGGATACTCTGTGTCATTCAAAGTATGGCACTGCAATTTCCGCGGTTGATTGTTTACATAATATTAAATGAAATAAAGAATAAATAGATATTACTATTGCAATTATTAATTAAAGCAAAAATGTGTATTAATATTAAGAGAAGTAGCAAATTATTTGTTTAACAAGTCACGTGATCGTTATATATCGACATACCTATATACTGTAAACAAAACATTTACGTTGAAAGTAACAAAATATTTCATGTGAAGTTAAATCTTTTAATTATTTTTTTGCTTCGTGTTGAAAACTCAAACCTTCTGTTTGACAAAGTCTTACTGCCTGATTAAGTATCCATTTAGATTCACATTGATACACACTGCTATTAATATCAGTTACAATACATAATGAAACTTTTTTTTATTAAATTTCAACCTAAATTATCTTTGTTGCCGCAGTATCCATATCAGGTTACCACGTGAGATTCATTCAATAAAAACAAATGATTAGAAAATGTAATGTTAATATACCCTCGGGATAGGCGTTTTATATAATATGTCAATATGGCAAACAAAAGAGTTCAAAGAGTACAAATGTAGAAATATACTCTGATTTAAAATCTATACACCTTTAATAAAAAACATAAAAATATATCAAAAATGTTTATATTTCCCTCTGGAAAATGATAGGAAATAGTCCATAATCACTTACGTATGGGAAAATGTGGAGATGTTTCTGAGATTGTGACATATTCCATTAATTTCGCTTTGTTTGAGATATCGCTGGTTTCTTTATAAGTTTACTATTTTTCTGAACAATGAAATAACTAAAATTCAAATCATTTAGAGAGGGAAAAAACTTACAGTAATAAATAACTATAATTGTACTACTATTTTTCAGAGGCTTTTATTATAAAAGATATTTCGAAAACTCTTTGTCATTGATATTTCCTTAAGCAAAAAATCTTATATATTTATTGATTTAACATTTTTGTTTTTATATGAATTATTGGTTATCTCTTAGCTCCAGCATGTTGTTTTGACCCCTGATGTTGCTTTACGTGTAACACCCAAGGTTAGCCAAACTCATCATTCTTCTGTTTTGGAGCCATAAGACCTAAATTGTGTTGGTGCGCGGCCGTCGTAAAACAAACCAAAACTCATAACTTGAATTTTGAAACATAATATGCTCTATATCAATATTGGAATCGAAATCAATATCAAACTGTTCTTGTAATTACACGTGTTTATGCGTTCTTATCTTGCTTAATTTTGCATAACAAATCTGCTGTTAAGTTTTATGATCAATTAGCATTTAATTCCAGGGCAAATACTGCCAAATGACTCTGATTTCAGTGTAAATAGTTGTTTTAATGTTTTTGTTCCGAATTATATAGTTTGAGTGTTTTCATTATAACGGAACAATTTTTATTTACTGGCATGCGAGCAGTTCCCGTACAGAAGCAGTACCCGTATTTTTCATTTAAACGCTTGATTTTTACTTGCAGTCTTCAAAAATTCATTTCAAATCAAGCAGATACATACACGAGACAAAATCTAAGTGTCAGTTCGGCAATACGTATAAAAAGTCTCATTTTAAATCACTTTCACCTGTGCGTTGTCAAAACGTGACCTTGTTTTCTCTGGGGGATTCCGTCCTTGCGCGCATGCGCAAAAATACTTACACGTGAGGCATGATAAAGGGTTTTCCACAAATACCACCTGTTTACAGATAAGTAGGCAATGTGATGAAAACTTGTTTAATTATCAGAATTTTGACCAATATTACTATATAAAATAATTTTATGGCTTTGGTGCGTAAAATAGCATGCATACAAGCATGCCATCGCATGTGAATGCGTTGGGGTAACGGTACCGGGTAATAGATATACGCGTTTAATCTACTTTCTATTTCCTGAATTACATCTATTTATCTCTTAGAAAATGGTCTGTTCAACAATTATAAATGAAAAATAGGTCCGATATAATAAAATTGTATAATTATAATGGGTTAAATTTTATGTACGGGAACTACTTCTCTTCATACAAAATAATGGATAATTTCGGTACCCCATATGAGGCCTCATAACTAAGGCTTATTCTATGTTTAGAACATGATGGAATTTCCATGATTTGTTTGACGAGCCGAATATTGATGTGTAACATTCAAATTTTGGTGAGTGAGCGTAATAAAAAATAATGTTTAAGTAACTACGATTTTTGTACGGGAACTGCTCGCATGCCAGTATAGCAAGCTACAATGTAATACAGTAGTTTGCAGCATTTCATTTGCAGGATTACTTCAAACCCACAACATTTTCTGTATCTGTAATCGCCGATACATTAAGTAGAAATGCTTGCCATGCAGATTTGAATTATTTACATGTATTTCATATCAATGATAACTATCGTATACAAAATATATATTGGGTATATACGTACGTCACCTTTGTAGCACTAAAAGATCTTTAGTGTATTCTGTATAGCTGTACGTGGCGAATAGTACTAGATTTGATACATATTGTAATCATTACCAATGATTTTATTTTAAAGTATATTTTAGATATTTGTCAATGTCTGCACAGTTCGCTATCCTGTCAGTTTAAAAAAATTCTCTAAGAAATTAAATGGTCTTGTCCAGATTAAAAGATAAACTATGCCATTTACAATATTTAGCGAAAATATACACATTAGATAACTTGTATGGGTGTTGATAATTGAGATTTATATTTTACCATAAACTGTGTATGACCGTATGAAAAACAGTTCTACAACCTACATACATTTTATATCACATGAATATCTGATGATATGAATAATAAATGACATACTGACTATAGTGAATGAATAATTAATGCAATCCTGTCAATACACAAAAGACTTCCTGCTTGCTATTACAAATATGACATTTACAGCTTTCTCAGTCAATGATTGTTCTATTTTCAATTCTACCGGGTCACTTGTGTCTGCACTTTACTGTTATTTATGTCGTTTGAAGATTTGTCACAATAACATTGTTTAGGTCACTCTGATATAAAACTCAAAAAATGTGGACACAAATGCCTGACATATCAGACATATAACATACTGAATATACAGCGACAATATATTATTTTAATTATTTTCTTGCATATTTATGTATCATTCACTTACATTTAACCGTTTCGGAATGAGTACATAAAGGTTAACCAGGTCTATATATATATATATAGTATTTTCATTTACAAACGCACTATGTTAGCATAAGTATACAGATTGAATATCTGAATATATACTAATGTTATTAGATAGAGATTGTTAATAAACGCCCTGTTTACTCTATTTGCACCATGTAATTGTTGTGGGACATATTGTCCGGTCAATACAGAGTAGACTTAGGTACATAATGAACTCTATAATAGCCTGTAGGGATCAATGACAAAGCTAATTATGGGGTTAATATACCATACACTTCTTTCATATAACATGAGCTTATTATATTGAACCAAAGCTTTGCACGCTTGAAAGTTTCTAGCAAATATCAGAAAACAGTATTTGTCGCCAAGTAACGGGCGGCAGCGAAAGAATCTTTTCTGCAGTAAAATGTGATAATATAAGGACCTGGAAATATAAGATCAAGCATTCCATTGATAATAACATTTTAGTATTGGAATGAAACACACGATGGTGTAGAATATCGGAAATCATACAGTGACAACAAAGCTGGAATGGAACATTTTATTAGACTTTTGTCACAGAGAGCTTAATTTTTTTAATATATCGCGTACATTCCGGAATATATTGTCGTTACAAATTAATTTTGTGAGATTTAATTAAAATGTCTTGTACGATTTATAATCTAATGCCTCGTTTAAAAATCGCGTAAATTGGCACTTGAACAATTTATAATATTTTTTTTAATTAACAGTTTCATGACATGGACATTATTTTCCTTGACAAAAAAAGAATGAATTAATTAAATTTAGGTTTTCATTTATACCTTTATCAACATGATATCAATATATACAGGATTTAACTGATTATACTTTTAATAAAAACTATTCACTCTAATCTGGAAATAAATTTGAATACGATATGAACAAAACATATTTTGAAGGCTACTAAAACGTTGTGCTTTGAACGCGCTGGATGAATGAACTTTTTTCTCACAGCGGCACGCCTCTTGGCTTTGATACAAACGAGTTTCTGTTAGCTAAAATATTGATATCAAATATATGTAAACACCGACAGTAGGCGGTTCTTAGAAATTGCAAGAGCGCGAGATAAAACGTGGAGAAGCTTTCAACAAACATTTACCGTGATAGAATTTTGTTTATGAGTATAATTATAAATGTCTACTAGTTATAAACAACTATGTGTATATAATGATTTTAGTAATTAATGTGTCGGTAAATAAATGGATTTTATGAAGAAATCTTGACAAACATTTTCACCTGGAACTTTGCTTAAAAAGATACAACATGTGTGCCTGGTTTATTTCATATATTAGACAAAAGGTTCTCAAACTATAGGGAAACTATAGACAAATAGGAAACATGGATAAAAATGCTTGTGAAATTTTTTTCATTTGTAAATTGTTACGGATTACATTTTCTAAGTAGAAAAAGTTCCTCTTCAGAAATCAGATAACGACATACCAGATAGGTAAAATTGTTAATGTTTAGCATAATAAATCTAACATTGCGTTGAAGGAAAAGTTAAAATAACTAAAAGTATAAAAATTATAGAAATTATATTGTGTGATTATCAGTAAGTTGGTACCGGTCAATTAATTGACAGGATTCGATTGATTGAAAAAAATGTTAACTGTGCAAGACGTCAGAGGTATCATAACATTCTTGTTTGTAAGAAACACTTTTCGAAAAGAACAATTATCTTTATCATTTGAAGCTGCTACGAACGTTTGATCTTTCTCCGGATAAAAAACTGTCCCATTCAATAGCTTATTGAAGACGGCGATTGGTGCTTTATTTGTCTCAAGGGAAGTATCAAATAAAGCTGACAAATCCTGTTATATCAAATTTCCGATACTTTACGAGCAGTTACGAAAACTCACCTACGATAATTTAGGTTTTTGTTCCTCAGAGGGACAATTATATGGATTTAAACAGATTGTTCTAGCATTCGTCTGGAATAAGAGTCATACATACGATAAGATTTACACAGGTCTGTAACGAAAATGCACATCGTGATTGTATCTTTTACGAATAGCTTGATCAAAACATATTAAAGTTTCGAATGATTGAACGGAGTGGGGATTAATTGTGCAATTGTCTGCTTGAAAACTGTTCGACGTGATCTCGAATTTCAAAGTTATTTCCGTTAATGTGTCGTTTTGTGCAATTGATCATTGATCATGGAAGAGTTATAAACGTTTGTGAAACAATATTACATGGATTTAACAAATTTATTTCAGAACTTTAAAGGAGAAGGCCAGGTATGGAGTCGCATTACATAGGATCAGATGAAGCCATCGATATTTCGCGGAATTTGTCACTTAATGTCAGTAAAACTAATGATGATGATTTCCTGGAAACAATCAACAACGAAATATTCGTTACGAAGATACCGGCCGTCGTGTACACGTCCGTTATGATGATTCTAGGACTTCCGGGAAACATAACAGTATTTTATATATATTTCTTTAAATGGCGCAGAAGTACTTCAAGGATATTTATTCTTTTTCTTGCAGCTCTTGATACTTTGAATTGTTCCACAACTCTGCCAATGGAAATATACTTGATGAGATATTCAGTGAATTTAGATCAGCCTCTACTTTGTAAACTGTCTAGGTTTTCAACGTATGTTATGAACTGCTCTTCGGCTCTAGTTCTTGTCGGCATTGCAGCCGACAGGTTCAAACGGATTTGTAGACCGTATCAACGAGTTTTTAGTGAGGCGCAGTCAAGATATATTTCAATAGGAGCTATTCTCTTTTCAATGGCAACCACCTGGCCGTCATTGTTTTTGTACGGCACCAGACAAGTAAAACTGGGAAATGTTACTGGATCATCCTGTCTTTTACAGAATGAATATGATTCGTCTCCATACCCGTTAATATATTTCAGTTTTATGATAACTACTACATTGTTAACATTTGTGATATTGATTATATTATATTATCTCGTAGGGTTACAAATATACAGACATAGGCGGTTTAAGCTCAAGAATTGCACGCATGTTCAACAAATTGTCGACGAAAAGACTATCACAGCCAAATCTGAAAAGTCCAACGGTGAAAAACTTAAATCGTCCAACAATGAGTTAAACAATGTCGAAGAAGAAAATTGTTCTAACGATAAGGTAGTGGTTGTTGTAAAAGCAGAATCTGTAATTCAAAACGATGATGATGAAAACGAATTGAAACCATATCAGTTGGGTTTACCGCCGCCTTGTAAAGACGTTGGGACCAGTTGTGGACTTTTAGATATACCATATCAGCAAGGAGGTCAACTTGGATCAGATTTTAACCTTTCTGAAATAACGCGCGCCACTAGTGAACATTCACTCGAAGGTCTGAAGGTAAACGAATTACCGGAACCTAAAAAAGCGCCATCACCCAAGTGTAAAATTCAAAAAGTTAAGGAAAAGAAAAAGAGACGTAGGGTTAGGTATTTGCTTGTGCGTGGGTCGTCAACTTTAAATGCATCTGGGAGAGCGAAGTGTGTTAACTGTTTGACTGTTAGAATAGGTCGGTCAACTTTGATGTTATTTCTTATAACAATTGCTTTCGTTATAAGTTTTATGCCTTTTTATGTTCTTGTTATTATAAGACAATCAAATAGTAATTTTGTACGCGGAATGTCAAAGTCTGGGCTTACAGCCTTTCATTTGTTTTTAAGATCATATCTATTATCGAGTGCGGTAAACCCTTTTATCTATTCATTTTGTAATGCTCAATTTAGGGGTTATTGTAGAGAAACATTTTCTAGGATTTTCCTAAGAAGACATCATTCTTTTATGACTCATTCGAGTCGTTTAAGACGGCACCATTAATCTGTATTTAGTAAATGTTGTTTTGTTTGATATCTTGTTTTATTAAAAGGGACCATTAAGCATTCAATTCTAAAACACAATATTGCAAACATTGCTTACCGTTTTTTTATATCAACACTTTCATTGAACCATCTCGTGTTAAGAAATGAAGAAAGCCTGTTAAGATACAATCATTGAATGTGTAATAGTTTTGTCAGTACAACGAATTCGGTAATATGCTTATTTTAAACGATCAAATATATTCATAAGGCTAAGTAATGTGTGCTTCTTTTACTATTAATTGTCTCACAAGTCAGCTGTTATAAGTTAACTCTTTTCGATAAATGAGTATTATGATTTTTAAGTTTTGTTATAGATTGTAAAGTCATTTCATTTTTCCATCAAAGGTTGCATTATGCTATTGTTAATTTAAGGTATCAAATACATAAACATGTTTGGCTGAGACAAAATTCACGAAAACATTTTCCCAACATAATATGTTTAACTGTTTGTCATAAAAAATAAATATTCTTGTCTGTAATGCATTTAAAATGACAAACGATCAATTTGGTTTTCTTGAACATTATAGTTAGTTAATATGTTAGTTGGAATAAAACTATGTTTTCTTGTTAACAATTTATCATACTTTATACACATTTTAAAAACTGCATCATTTCATCGATATCGAAACCAAAATCATTTAAAAAAACATTTTCTTTGTTAACTTTGAAGAAAGTGAAATACTACTATAAAAAGCCAATGTAACAAAGGACTAAACAAAAGAATGCATTTTACGTTTAATTCGGTTAACTGCAATACTTATCTTTTTTTAACCAATTTAGTTAACAGTTTTATTTGACATACCGATAAACTCTTATTTGAATATCATCCTTATTTCTGTTTTATCAATTTAGAGTAGATAAAACTCCATTATTTATCAAAATATTCTATCTCATAGCTCATATTTACGGATAACAATTCACAGTAGGAGTTTAATTTGAAAGTCTCGTAAAAATAATATCGGATAACAATGTTTTTCATTGTTTTGCATTATTCACGTCATTTATTCGTGTAAGAATTCAAATAAGTACAGTATTTTACCTAACAACTTAGAAATATGATAACATTTAGTTTTATTTATTTATTTCTATGTATAAGTTCTATCTCCCTAACACATTTTCTTTAGAATATCATTATATTCAAATAATTGGCTTCACATTCGTATCTATAAACATGCGTGTTGATCAACGAAACATCATAGCTATGTAACTGCAAAATAAATAAATTCATTATAAAAAGTACTAGACAAAGTAAATTATGTTGAATTCTAGATAATTATATCTAGATAGTGAATTTTGAACGCATACACTATGTATGGAAAGCTCAATTATCTATGAAGAATGGTAAAATTTATGGGGTCTTTTCTTAAAAGAATAACAAACAATACCGTTTTAAATGATACTATGTATGTATACTGTGTTAACTGAAAGTGTGTAGAGCTTAAAGCGTAAATATTCTCAGTGTACACACAGAAGATGTTTATCTAATAATGTAGAAAGCTTAAGAGTAATTCTCAGTATTTTTTTTTTTCATATTTTAATAGAGCATAATATATCTTTACATTTCTAAAGACCAATCCGAAAGAATGTGAAATGTTACTTTACCAGTTTGTCAATATATTTCTATGTATTTCATAAGGTTTGGAAAAAAATCTTTAATTCACAGCTGCAATCTTACACCAAGATGTCTAAAGATAAGTCATAAAGTAATTTAAAAATGATTGCCGTTATCTAGCCTTAAAGATAGTGCTTACGTTTTGTCAGCTATTGGTGCTTTCATTTATTTATATAATTTGTTGTTGTTTGTTTTTGTTTAGTAATTGAATTTACCATAATGATTTTATTGCGTCTTTTGATTAATGTAGTTACTATTCTCGGACATTTGTTGTTGTTTTATCTGTGGTCTGCAATTTGATTCTACGGTTGTATTAAGAAAAATAAAATATTTCATGTTTGATTGATCTTTCATTTTTTTTACGGAGGTTCATGTAGCCGTAGAATTCTTTAATTTGGTCGTATCAATATCAAGCAAAGGCCACTGATTGTACACGGCATGTGTAACTGTATATTGATCTTATATTGATTTGGACGCACAACAGCCAGTTCGATTAGCTGCAAGGACCATTTAATGAAATGTTTACATATAGAAAAAATGCAAACTCAATGTTTATTTTATTTTGCACACAATTCAATGAAAAATAGCATGTTTGTTAGAGAAATAAGCAAACAAATTTATCAAAATGTATTGTGATATACGTGGATTATAAACAAATCTAAACAGAACACTAAAAGCACGCCTTGGTAATTTCGTTAAATTAAAAATATAAAAGTTAAATTTTAATGTTTTTGACACTTTGAGCATCGGCGCGCACACATCGCTAGCTTTGATTTGTCTTTAAGTTTTAACCATTGAAGGCAAAAAATTCTACATATGTGACAACAGCATGACAAGAGCAGACCAAGGTCTTATTATGGTCTGCAATTTAATTTACTCAGTCAGTAATTAGTTTGAAATTTCCCCAAAAATGTCCAGATCTAAAGATGGCGGTATCCATTTAAAAGTATTAGCATGATATGGATTAGTATGCTATATTTAAATGTTCTGCTTTGTATATTAATTCAAACTTGCAGCTGAGTAAATATCCAACAGAAATATTTCATTCTCTTTGGTGGTATTTGACATTTAATTTAGATGTGCAATGAATTTATGAAACATTTTCACTTAGGCAATATAATTCAACGATTCCATCTGATCACCGCGGTGGTGTAAATCCAATACACATATTCTTAGATTAGAACTGTGTCAGGATGATGATTGTAATGCCAGGTTTTATGGAAGATTTACTTTGTTTTTTTTTAACTTAAATTATATGTGACTGTATTTCTTTACTTGTATCTATTATCTGGAACATTAATTTAAGTAAATATATATATTACCTTTTTTCCGTTACAAAATTTACTGATTCCCATAATCATTAATACTGTATTCTTATTTTAAATTGAAAGACTTGTTTTGTTTACTTGAACTCAGTATAGAAAACAATGTGGCAAAATTTTCAAAAACATTCTATGAATTGCAAAAGCTTTAACTTGATATGTCAATTAATATAGTTTCTTTATTTTGTTATAGAGAACCCGACAATATAGAAATGATAGACTCGAAATAAGATATTTAATCTTATATTTTAAAATTCCAAAGGTACTGCCTTCTACCTTCATGTTAAATAATTTAGTAATTTAAACATGAACTTCATTCATCGTTAAAAAAAACAACAAACCCATCTGATACCCTGTCATATTTTTTATTGTGGGTTTTAAAGCACATTACGAATCATAAATTTATACATTTTTGTAATATTATTTTAATTAATCAGAATGTTTATGTCTTAAAAAATATAGCAATGAATTTGCTATAAAAATATAATTTGTCATAAAGGTAGAAAAACATAAACATATTTTGATTTCCATAAACATACATAGTCACCATAACTTAACTAAAAGAAAGCGAAAAAGAAAGCAGTAAAGCAAATATTGAAATTTTTTAAGAACTAAAAATTATACCTAGGGATTTTAAGTTATAACTAAAGAACGTTTATTTTATGTCAAACGCACGTCTTGTAAAACTTAACTTGCACTATCAGTGCCTTTGCATCATGCAATTCACATAAAAGATAAATATGCAAAGATATTATTACATAATCGCGAGCACTCCCGTATAGTAAATAACCGAATGTTATCTTGGAAATTGCATCGCATTCACATAAGAAACATGAGTCAAAATTACAAAAATATAGTAACTCAGGTGTTAAAACATTAAAAAGTTTGAGTTGCTTGGCAACAATCGAAATAAATTGTAAACGACGCTTTAGCTCCTAATAGAATGTATGCAACTTTTCAACACAATATAATCAAAATAATTTTGCTGAATGTATCACCTTTTAATCATACGTTTACGGACAATATCCTAAAATAACTAAAAAAGCAGGAAATCAGTTCCGTGAATAATAACCAGTACGATGATGCAAATTATATTTTAATGATTGACAGCAAAAAGATGCAAATAGTATTTTAATAATTTTAGTCCAAGCTACCGTCCACGCCAACTAGCACCGGCTAAAGCAGGATTTCACATCAAACAAGAAATCGTAAAATTCTGAATTTAGAAACATCTACAGATGCGCTCATATGGCGGTTATCATGAACGTAAGATGTGACACGTTATTGCTACTTCATGAAAAGTTGTGTATTATAATTAATAAATTAATGAATATGTGTGCCCTAAACGACAAAGCGATGGGCGAAACTTAAAAACGGAATGGCTATGAAGCCTGCGTGTCACAGATATGCAGCAATTTGTCACTAAAACACAGTCTTTCGTAGCAATTTATAAATTTTATAATATACTTTTATTGATTCTTTGGGAAATATAATATGAGAAAGGCGGATATGGTGAACAAAATAAATTAATCTATTTAGCGCTTTATCTTGAGAATTTATTTTGTTGATACAATATATGAGAAGAAGTTATGTTTCATTTTAATATCCTGATTGCAGAAGGATAAAACGTTATTTAATTAGTTTATAACTTCGTGAATCAGACATGATGTACTTATCTATAAATTACATAAGATAGTATATGCGATAGTAATTTTAAATTATCCGCAGGGAAGGATTATACCAATTAAACATTTTCCCGACACTCGTGAAATGTTTGTTTTCATAACACTCGATGGAAATAAATGACGTTTTTATATAATGACATTTTATGTGTTTACAGGTACTTGTATTTGTAATACTTGTCATTTGTTTTACCTTACAGCTATAAAGACTTCATACTATTTTTGCGTATTGGCTGAATTAAGGAGAAAGTAGTCGGTAATACACCAAGTGCAAATACATTTTTACAGTGAAAATACGGAAAATGAAAATACGCATTATATGTCATCAATATTTCATTAGTAGATAATAAAACTTATTATTTACTTTAGAATGGCACGATTTAATGTGCATCTCCTCAATAAAAAGTACAAGACTAGTACATAAAAACATTTGCAATTATCAGCTTTACACTTTGGGCTCATTTTTAATGTCTTCTTTTGTTGCAAAATAGTTTTATTTACATTATTGTCAAATAGAAATTAAAGACAGTGTTTGCTTCTCTCCGTATTCTGAATATGAACTCTACAACTGTAATTAGGGAAGTTTACCTGGACTTTATATCTCGGAAGTGGCATAAAATTGAATGTTGCGTAAAACGGGTTACCTCCATCGAAATCAAATAATAGCGGATAACTCAATTTGTTGAAAACTTATATTTCCGTATAAAATTATATTTCTTTTATACACAGAAGACTCAAAATAAAACGTTGCAAAGGTTTCATATTACAACAGGATAAACATTGCAAATACTTACTAGATGTATTTTCGTCGGACAAGACACGCATTAGCCATATAGTTTCTTATAAATGTACGAGCCTTGGCCTGTTGTGAAATTATATCTTTGATAACATTTTATTTTCTTTTAAGCCCACATGTGGAATAGTAGCATTAAATAATGTTAGTATAATCTAAATCAGAAAATATAAACAAATAGGCATTATTATCTTTAAAAAGAAACCCGTAAAACGTTCATTTGTTCTTAATCTAGATCATTCTCTTATTCAGAATGATAAGTAGATGAATACTTTAACTTCAATAAATATCTTGTCTAGGCTTATACATGTATTAAGTGTTCTTGTGCTCTGATTTTGATCGGCAGCTGCTGCCAAGTTCAACAAAAATATCTTATATATTGCATCATGGATATCAAGAGGCAATATGATTTATTGTTCCCAAGAAACATTTTGTTGTCTCTGTAGCATTCACAATTAACCCCTACTAAGAAAAATATCTTAAATTGACATTCCTATCTTTTGCTCTGCAAAAAAGTACATCACTGGCATAGGAAATTTCAAACTATGTACTGACTGAATAGCAATCACATGCAGATTATAATCAAACGCACGGATGTGATCAAACACTCGGATACTCGAACTTACCGCCTAATTTTGGTCTGCACTGAAATTAGAATCAGTTACCAACAGCATTGTAAAGGTTACCAAAATAGAGCATAAAGTAATACTGCAGATTGCATTAGTCTGGTATATGATTTAATATATAAAAACGTTTTACTTTAAAAATGTGAAAGAAAAATATAAGAAAGATATAAATAAAAGATAAGATAAAACAAAAGTTATCATAAATTATATAACCAATTTTGCGAGATAGAATGAATTTCAGCGTTGAAAAACTATCATGGTGCTAAAATGACTGTGAAGCTGCCGATTACAGATTGCAATGTTTGCTTTGTTTTACAAGCTACTTATGGATTTATTTCATAGTTATGTAAGACAAAATTGGATAATATTATCACAGAAGTATTGGGCTCAGGTGTTTATGGCTTTAATTTGATGTATGTCGCTTGGCAACGATTGAAATCATATACATATTTTTTCTACATTATATCAGCGTATGGTAAATTAACTTATTGAAGTTGTAATGGTATACAAAATATAAAACTATTTTAAGAAATGAAAACAATATCATATTTTGGGAGTTTTAAGTTATAACTAATGAACGTTTGTGGCGTATAGTAAAACGAAAACTTGCGCTATCAGTGCTTTTACATCATGGAATTCATATAAATGATAAATATGCAAAGATATTATTTAATATACATTATTGCAAGCACCCCCATATAGTTAATTACCGAATGTTATCTAGGAAATTGCATCGCAGTGACATAAGAAGTATGAGCGAAAGTAACAATAATATTGTAACACTCTGGTGTTTAAACATTAATTAGTTTGAGTTGCTTGGCAACAATCGAAATATATTGTAAACGACGCTTAAACCCTATTAAAATGTATGTATTATATCAATACAACATAATCAAAGTAAGTTTGCTGAATTTGTCACCTTTCAACTGTACGTTGACGGACTGTATCTTAAAATTAACAAAAGGCTGGAAATCAGTTTCTGGATTAAATAACGTCCA